TTAATTTTTCATACCTATATCTTCTTCTTGGATAAAACATAGTCCCACAAAAAGATTGTCTTCTGTGTCGTCGGTACATACAAACGTACAATTCCACATGCACAAACCACCCAGACCTGAAAAAACAATTTGTATATCACACAAAGTGTTGTTCCGTGCGGGAATTGAACTCGCGATACGTTGCACCGCAGTCAGTGGTCCAGCCACTGCGCCAACCGTTCATTCAAATATCTATACTTGTATATTATTCTTCCTTTAGAAAATAAAAGTTATTTATAATACATAATATATTAAGACATATAGACACTGTATCAATATTATTTTTCTTTTAATTTATAATAAATTTATTCAACAAATTTATGTCTGGCACTGAAAATACTTACATCAGACCTTCACATTTTCACATGGAGCGAGCCAACCAAGCGGTCATTCACAACCAAAATTCAGAGAAACAAAATTTGAATATTAAAAATTAAATCTTAAATTAGATCCCTTAAGGCTTGTATCCACTTGGCAACTTTTGGTGGGTAATATGTTGCACAGTATGTTGAAAGTCAGTGCGGATCTATTGTATACCAACTTTGTCTCTCTACCATCAAATTCGCTGTCAGCAGTCGTCGACATCATGTCGCCAGATACACTAATTTTTAATTGAGCGAATCTACTTGTTTCTTGCGCATCACTTGTCCATTCGACGTTCAACGTCTAATTTTGATGCTTATCTTAAACTAACTTATATCCGTGACTTCATCCGCCGTATTTGATGATCGCTATGCGCGGGAACACTGTAGGTATTAAAGCGAGATTACCATAAAAGATTTCTCCCATGAAAGCAGCCTAAGTTGCTCCTTATTTCAGCATGTACCAATAGAAGTCCTGTATTTATATATGCTTATTTCTATGCATATATGTAGGTATAAATGTATAGATTTATAGATGCATAGAAGTCGTAGGTACTACAATACACGCGTTGTATGTATTTCGTGTCAAAAAAAAACGCTTTGTCACGCAATTTTCACTATGCGTGTTGAGCGTCAATGAGGGCTACCGTTCTTTTCTCACCACATGACACTACTGCAGTTTAAGATCTGTTTATTCAATCAATGATTGAATATCCAGCGATTTGAGACGAGCTGCTTGTGTATTGGAAAAACTACTCTCAGCGACATGTAGTAAGTGAATCCATGAAACAGTCTTCTGTATCGGATATCACGCTTTAAATTTAAAAATAGAAATTCTTACACAGTACCGTCTGAGTGCATAAAGCCACGACCACTTCAGGATGACCTTTCATCTTAGAGTACTGTGAATAATGTATAAATATTGGTAAAATAAATAAATAAACAGGTCCGTCATAACTGAGTAGGGTCACTTGAAGTCACGGGGGATGAAAATTATACTAATTTATTTGTCTACTTGGAACTGGACTGCTTCGTCCGTCGAGTTGTTCGAGTGGTCGACTTAGGGATCCTGGACTCAATTTTCAAAGAGACTATAAAGGTCAACGTACTTACTAGAAAGGTTCTTCTACTTTTCGAAAATGTCGCTCCTATATAGTGTATAGGTAGGTAGGTATACATACATCGTTATGTAGTTTGAAATATCCCCTTTCTATAAGAATGGAGAAACCATTGCAATGTTTATTTTAAATTAAGCGACTTATAAAGTCACTTATTTTTTTATTTGTGCCTTTTGTAACTCTCTGCCTGTGACACTACGAGGAAGTAATTTGTAAAACTAATAAGAATACAATGTACGTAAACCGTCTTCTATTAATTATGACTCAATAGATTCACGATAAAAGCTTCAAAAAAATCTCTGACACCCACTTCCAAAAATCGTAGAAATCTGCAAAAAAATTACTGCCTATTATTTTTAGGGATATACGCATACGCGTAAATTACTTATATATTATTTATAATGGAACTACAAACACAATAAGGCTTTTAAGAAGCGTTGCAAGAAGAAACAATTGCCTATCTAGCTTTACATATAGCTCAAAATTTTCGCAATGATACGGTGGAAATTACAAAATCGTAAAACAAAATGGTGAAATACCTCCAATCACACAAACATAGAACAAAATCAATTCTCTCTGAACTTTGAATTTTAAACATAGAACACTTAGTCAATATTTGAAAAGAACAACTTTTACAAACCACACAAACACCGAATTCCAAACGTTACCCTACTGACGACATCAAATTCCACCGTCTCAAGTTTTTCTCCTGTCAATAGCTCTTGAAAGGCCCTCAAAAACCCATGATTAACGATTCCCCCTAATTTACAATTTATTGGAGTAAACTTGGGGACGTCCATCCATCAATATGGCCAATATTTTGTCGTTCTGCCGACTAATTTGTGTCTGAACCCCTACCCTGTTTGAGGTTGCCATTGCTTGTTCACTGAGACTGGGGTAATTTGGGAAAGAATTTTAAGATTGTTGATATTTTTTTGGTTGTTGCGGAGCCACGAGCATGGGCTATTTTTCTATTTTTAGTTATATAGTATTTTAATCGTTTTTCATTATAATAAATCTTCATGAAACATCTTTAATAAAATGTTAATTTTCTTAATATTCTAGCTCAAAAAGAGACAGTCTTCAGGCCTTCGTAGGCCCAAATTAAATCTATTTAAAAGGCAGAGGCAAACCTACATTACGGAATTGAGAGAGCCCCAAATTCCGTACAGTATTTAGCGAAGTGGAACTTTAGTTGCCGGTTCGTTGGTTTCTAAAGCGAGTGAGGAAATCACTTTTTTTCCTTAAAACCTCACGTATCGTATCAAAGGGAGACACTTTATTAAAAGCATATCATTATCTGATTTCGTATTGAATGTTGAAGAGTATTTTTAAAATGGGCCTTAAGGTTATACAAATGATAAACGAAAATTAACGAATTACATTTCGATTTTATTTTAAAATTTTTACATTTTAATTTTATTTCTGTAAAACAGATGGAACTATTAAGCATTTATAAAAAAGTGAGAAATACATTTTGGAGAAAGTAAAATTTGAAGTAAAATTTTACGCATCTTGAAGAAGACTTCATCGTATACCTTTAGCGAGGATGAGTCTATATTTTTCGACGTAAGAGTTTAAAACTTGCTTCAACCTATTTTCCAATCTTGTTTACAAAACAAATCATAAATCTAAACTTCTGTTTATTTAGGTATAGATAAACAATTAAAAACAAACTCGAACTTAAATCAGAAACAATTCCTTAATTCCCTAATTCTATTAGACTAAATCAATACAAACGCCAATTACTTTGAGACAACTAAGTTTAACTAAATAAAAAACATGATCAAACTTCTCTAACAAAACGATTAAGCAAGTTATAATTGAAAACGTTAACCCTATCGGGCCTAATCTTCGGGTCGTCGGGACCGGCCCACTTGTAAAACTAACTTAATCAAACTGTCTCGGGGTATAAAAACCGAGACCTTTTGTAAATTTTACAAAACATGGGAGGGTTAAAAAATCATTTGGGTTTCTGTGGCGAAAAATACTCGGTTCTTTGGACCTTGCTAATTTATCTGTACTTTTTTTGAGTTGGTAAAGTTTAAGATTGTCTAGCGAGTAAAAATGTAGCGTTAGTTAGGCAGTTGTTACTAATTAAATATATTGTTTAACGATCAACCTGAACAGTTTTAGACACACCGTCTTTCCTTATAATGTATTTAGATAACTAAAACAGTCTTTTTTATACTGAAACGCTTAAGAACTGACCAAAGACCAAAGACATGTTATATTATCTTCTTTGAAACTAGTATTTATAGCGTTTCTCAGTCATTCCAATGACAAAATCGTTATTTCCAGAAAATATTATCTGGTGTCTTTTACCCTTAAGAAGTGATAGCAAACAAAATATTTCTATAACAGTTTCTATACCACCAAAAATACCAAGACCCATTAAATCACAGAACTACAACAAAACAAAACTAACTCTACTCGAAGAGCAATCGATCCACTTCACGAACCAAGTCCTGAACGCACGAACACCCGAAAAACTTTAATAAACCACCCACGCACAACGTCACTACATACTGTATAATCAATAAACCGGCCCACAGAAATAAAATCGACCTGTATAATGGGGTCGCTTCAGGGCCAAATTTCGTTGAATACAAACCGACAGTTCAATACTGCTTTGTGGCGTTAATGTAAAACAGCAATCGTGTTTTGTCTGTATCTCTATAATAGAATAGTTAAAAGTATTTTTTTTCACCTTTTGAAAGGTGTTTTAGTGTAATTAGGTGTTAGGTCAAACGGATTACGTTATTTTCGTAATGAAGGTTGATGTTCAATGTGCTTTTGAATACCGGGGCGTTAACTTTGCATGTATTTGTCTAATGCTGATCATGACGTGTTACTTTTTGATCGGTTAGCGCCTACAAAACCAAACTTTTTTTATTATTCTTATAAATTTTATCGTATGTCTGCAAGTAATATTGACATGAGAAAACACATACCGTCATGCTCTTTTTTTGTGTGAGGTTAGGTTAGAACTTATACTTAGAAACTTACACTTAGAACACCATGTCAGACAATGGTGTCCGATACTTGCAGAGGGTTAACCTTCAACAGTTTTTGTCGGCAGTCAAATGTTTAAGTTAGTAAGTGTCAGACTCTTACTGACTAAAAACCCCTCCGTTCCTTCTCCTGCTCTAGGTCGAGGCCACGGTGCTGTATTGCGTTTAGCCCGCAACTCCAGCTAAACATCAGCCCTTCTGTGATGGTCTATATCTGTTTCAGGTGCGCTTGGAATGCTACGCGTCGTACGCTCGGATCTGTTTCTGGTCAGGCGGAGAGCTACCCTTACTAGCTGTCCGCAGACCCGCACAATATCAAGCGACTCTAGATCCTTTTTTGTGTAGTTGGTTAAACAAATGCTCGATCAAACATGGTCGATCAAAATTGTCTAGGTACCATTATCTTGACGATTGTGTTTTGTTTTGTTAAGATATTTTCCTGATTCATGGTGTTTGTTTGTCCACAGGATTCCCTCACCCAGAAATGCCTCCGCAGGGGAAATTTAGCGCGCTAGAAGACGACTATATAGAGGTGATGTCGAGGAGAGGACAGAGTCGGTCGCCGTAGCCCAGACTAACTGTTCTACCCACGAGAAGAGAGAGGAAGAGAAGTCGCCAGTAAGTATACAACTATTTAAAGAGAGTACTAGAACTAAATATTAGGATTAAAGATAAATGAAGCTACAATACTGCAGAAGACTATGGACGATTTAAAATACTTTTTATGTTTTGTTCATATTTCTAAATGAACAATCTATAAATTAATATTATCAGACTAAGAAAGAGATGAATATGTATGCCTTAATAAAAGATTATTTTTGAGAAAAATCTTATACTGAAAATTGCCAAACGAGTCATACTTGAACACTCTACTCACCTATCACCCCAAACTTGACACAGTAAAAACAGAATAACAGACGGTAAAAATAGAATAATGAAAAAAAGTATAATGTTAAAAGTATCACTAAGCGTCAGTATAAGCTCTCCACAAAACCACTTAATCATCCTTTATGAAAGCCAAACCACAACAAGGATGCGAGAAACACTCGTATATCGTTAGCGAGTTATATTTTCTCATACAAAGCTATTATTGGCACATCAGCAACATATACAGATTTCCTTCCATGTTTTTCTTCACGCAAAAATACAATGATTTTCCACATAATTGACCGTGGATGGAGGCCAAGTGAAGATGCGGATTATATCGCAATAAAATATTATTTGCTCATTCATGATATTATCTGGTCAATTAGAGACAGTTTATCTGCTTATTTTCAGGAAGAAATATATTATAACTTTAACGATGTGGATTCATCGGGTGCCAAGTAACAGTAAGGGATCGCGCACGATTTTAATGTCGCATGATTGTGTATTCGTACGACTAATCGATTAATATCGAATGACAAGTGTTGTTAATTCATTTGTGGATCGATTCGAGTGTATTGTGTATAATTGTTATTGATTGGATGAAGTACAAATAGTATCTAATATCAAAGAGATCTACACAGAACATATCACCAATATCATAAAATTAAAACTTAAAGGATAGAGATTAACTTCTCAGACAATTTTAAGTCTTCTTAGTTTAATCCAAAATACGTTTCAAGTCACAAAAAAGAATCGCAAAGATAAAAATAATCCATAACGTGTGACGACCCTTAGCTAAACAATAAGTGTTGTTATTTATGTTTGCCTAATATAATCTGCTGCTATAACAATGAATGTTGTCAGTAAAAAAAATGATAAATGGCCCTAACTTTTTCATTCTTCTCTACTTATAACCTTTCTTTTCATAATAATTTATTGTCCTCGTAATTTATTAACAGACTTTCTTTTTGAAGTTCTTTTGATAAAGATTTATTGGAATCAAGTCCTATGTTTGGTTTGATGTCAATAAAAACAGAGTTTTGTCAAGTAGAATAAAGGACTTGGCATTATTAAATAGCTCTTATTGGATCAATATCAATAGGAAAGACTTTACTTATAAAACACTAATGTAAGACATTTCGGTATAATCAAATGGGACATAGGTGATGAATGGCAAATAAATATCTGATCATCACCTGAGTTATGTTCTTTATCGATACACAATATGAACCAAAAAAGAATTAGAACCTGAATAAAAACAAGTTTTTAATATTTGTTTACTGTAGAAATACTGGCCTTTATGTATATTAATCAAAAAGTTTATACCTTCACATTCTCACTACTTTGGTTCCCAAAATTAAGCCATGTTTCAGTATCCCTAAAAATGCTTTGTAGGTTCATAATGCTTTCAATTTATTTTTCCATTACCAGAAATGAACCTCCTCAACATGGACGCGGAGAACCGCGTGGTCCTGAACGTAGGAGGAATCCGTCACGAGACGTACAAAGCGACGTTGAAAAAGATCCCGGCGACCAGGCTCTCCCGGCTGACGGAGGCGCTCGCCAACTACGACCCCGTCCTCAACGAGTACTTCTTCGATAGGCATCCTGGAGTCTTCGCCCAAGTCTTGAATTATTACAGGTAAGGAAAGACACGTTGTTGCTTTATCAAATTCAAAGCCATTTAGAAAAGTACAGGAACTTTGAACTGAAAACTGAATCAGAATGGAATTAGGTCAAATAGTAATTCTAGAGAAATTAAATTATTTGCCAGTTTATCTTTGTTAAGACACCTGTTTCGATGTTGCATTCTTACATACGCAAGAAGAAAAATGACCAACCCAAAAGCTTGGAATGCACTATGCAAGGCACCTATATACCTACCACCTATATACCTATTCTTTTGTTGCCATTTTAAAGCACCAACGACAACACTATATTTAAAGGAATAAAACATTAATACCAATGATTTCGAAAACCACAATAAGGAAGAAATTCTCCTTGTACAAATGATTACAATAAGGAATGTTTTAAAGTAACAATTTTCGATGTAAAATTTTGCGATTCTCATTCCTCTATTACTTTTGATAAACTGAACACTTTAATTACTCCAAACCATTAGCTTCCATTCTTACGTTGAATTCAAATGAAATAAAAACAGTCCTTTTTGGGGAACCTACAATTCTGTTGAGAATAGAAAAATTATGTCTTTTTTCTGACCCTAAAGCCCCTATATTACTTATTATCGCTGTTTTATTTCAGCTTGAGAATAGGTAATAAGATTCCTAAGCGTGATATACAGAGCCGTTTAGCACAATTGACATTTCAAGACAAAAGAGATGTCCTATACAAATGTCTGACATTTCGTACAAAAGGTATTTCAGCTATTTGGACAACTTGTTTTTAGCGAAAAGTTATTTATAGAACTTTATATTCTACTTGTGTTACCTCTTAGGTGGAAGACTGTGGACACCTTTGTAACAAGTGATTGACTATTTGGAATGTCTTCTCCAATAAAGTTTGCTCATTCTCAAATTGAGATTGGGATTGTTATTTAGATCAAACATTTATTATGTTTCTTTAGGTCAGTGCTCAATACTAAATTGCGTTCCATTGGTCTTGTAAATAATAAATAAAAATATAACAGAAGCACTATCTGTTGGGCACAGTAGATCTGTTCAGCTCGGTAATCTCAAATCCAGAAACTAGATCTAGTGTCTCAATAATCTCGTGTCCTTAGTAACTAAATATTTCCATGTGAACAACGTTCTTTAAAATATTTTCCATACTCTTTATAATTCACAATCTTATTGTTAAATAACCTTTACAAAAAGCTTCTCCGCCAACTAAAATAATCCTCGTTTCTGAAAGTGCGTGAAAGAGAAAAAATAATAAGTAAAAGAGAAAGTGCAAAATGATAAATGACCTTATTATAATTCTGTAATATTTAAAAATTAGGCTGACTCGAACAAATTATTTCGGCTTAGGTTACTGGGATAATGCTTTTATTATTTAGACTCTCATTTTGGTGAGGGTAATTCGTTTGCGTTGTTTTTCTCGACCCTTTGTAGACATAGATACTGTTAAATATCAGTTACAATGTCTGACTTTAGGCTTGTTTCTTCGAAATGGTTTTAGTGTTAGAATTATACATAATATTTTATATTTAAATTCAAATACTAAAATGTATAATTTTAATATGATTAAATAAGATTATATGTTTTTCTTCTAAGAGTCGGTTTTCTATTAGACTTAGTTCATAGTTTGCAGATGGCTTCATAACTTAAATTTTATCCGATTATATCTTCAAGTGTTAAAATAAAGATTTGTTTGATTTCGTTGATGACGCTTACAAGCACACCACAAAGCAGTTATATCCCCACGAAAACTCTCTCAGAAAATGTGACAGATTTTCTTCAGTAGTTTTTGGAACTATACGTGGTTTGTGGTTAGACTTGCCTCCGGGTTAGGCTCAACATTTTCCGTAAAACCACAAGGGACGGTGTCAACCGCAGTATTTGGGTGAGTCCTGCGGTCGAACCAACCTGCGCAGTGGTACCAAAGGCTCGACGCATGAATTTTTCCGTAACACATATTGCGAACAGGACGCTCGCGGTTACGGTGGCGTAAAAGAAAAAGACTATACTTTTGTTTGTATAATTTCTTTTTTCTGATTTTAAGCTTAAAGATCTATTTTAGAATCTTTTTTGGAACTCTTGGCTGTCGTTCTAATTACAATTGAGTTTGCCCTTGAGACAGAACGTGATACAGAAAATTTAGAAACTACTACTACTCGTACTTACAAAGCTTCTTCCGCGAGCAATCCTATATCAGAATAGGCTTAGCAGTGTAAATCATTCGTTACAAAATTACGAACCCCGATCATGAAATTATTATCATAACATAAATTGTTATCTCCGTTCAGACATAGGACATAAAACGAGCTCAATCAATCCTATCTTCCAATCCCCAATCATAAATAAATGTTCCTTTTTTTGCTCTGTACCCACTTATTACAAAACTAAGCTTATGGGCCATATAGACAATTAATCAATATCAACTAAACATAAAGTAACATTAATCAATCTAAGCCTAAAGGGTTGAGCCCCGAAATAATCCGAAGTTTGCCGAAGTTGGGACCTTATCAATGATTTAATTTCAGCTATGAATGAGACTGTAGCGAACGATAATCATAAACAAGTTAAGAAACTTTGTGAAACAAGTTATATTCGAAATATTTTTTTTATAAAATAAGCTGCTTCAGAACTAATGGTGCTTGATGTCTTTTTACAACTAATACTAAGAGTGGTCAAGCAATATAAAAATCTAGAATCTAGCTTAAAAAGGAACCATACCGGTTTCTTAAAATAGCGTCATAGTTAGAATATCCACATCACTCTCATCGTAATGTCCCTAGAAGACGCGCAACATTGCCACGTTGGAAAGTACTGCTAACTTTTTGTCCGAAAAAATAATCAGCCTTCTGATCACTTAATCAAATTCACTAAGCTTCGGGACATTACGTTAGAAAAACTGATCTTCAAAAATATATCACAGTTTGATAAAATATTATAGGTACACTAACTTTTGCCCGCGACTCCTGCAGATTTTTGGTATAAAAACTATACTATGTCCTTTCTCGAGTTCCAAACTATGTCTGAACCAAATTTCACAGAAATCGGTTCAGTAGTTTAGGCGTGAAGAAAAGACAGAAAGGCAAAATTTTACTTTTGCATTTTTAATATTAGTTTGGATATATCTTTTCACCTTACTCCTCAGTTATTAAAAGAGCATCTATCCATTCTTAAACGAACTCTAAAACGCAAATGAAGATATATAGGTATAGACTTGAGACTGCATATGGAACAAGAAAATATATTCTAAGATAGGTAACGGACAGGAGGAAATGAAATCTTCTCCGAACGAACAAACTGACATCGGGTCAGAACTAAACTCCAATGTTAGAGCGTCAGGTTTCAATCGAAATCCAATTTTCTATGTGAAACCTCCCTTTGCAGTTGTAAGACCTAACGCGACTTAGGCAAGGTGTTACAAAGTGAACATTTATTCAATGTAAATTTATTTGTCTCTTTTTAAAAACGGAATTCGATTCCTTGATCACTGCATCATCTTCCTGCCCTTGTCCCGTTTTATTTGGGGTCGTCGCAATAAGTTTTTTTTCTTCCATTCTGTCCTGTCACTCGTCACGCTATCGCTAACTCTTCTGTCTTCCATATCACTTCTCACACAATCCATCCATTTTTTCTTTGGTCTGTCTCTGACTCTCCATCCATCCACATTTCCCTTGATCACTGCACCAAGCTTAAACGCCTGATCTGCACTGAGTTCTAGAAAAGAAGAAGGGAGATTCGGGAAATAGGAACCTTTTCAGTGCACCTCGTTAGTGGACGTCCGTGCAAAGCAAGGACAGGTCACTTGTACTATATCATTATATTATAGCCTACTCCTTCCATTTCATTGGTGGTTAACATATTGATACTTAAATGGATTGGTTTCCGATGACCCAATTTCCGTGTTGACTCGTTTGAAAACTATTTGTTTTAAACTGACTAATCTATATTTAGCGTGCTGCGGCACTACGGTAAAAATATTAAATAATCACTATTACTTAGGGATTTAATTAGTGGTTAGTTGTTATTGCAAATTCTTGCTGGTAAATTTTTGTAGTCAAAGTCGTGGTGGCCCGTAGGTTAAGGCACCTACTTCTCATGCATGAGGTTGCGAAACCTGCTAAACACCTGACATACGGTGGAGGAAATCATCGTGAGGAAACTTGGACTTATAATTTCTAATTATTAGTTTGAACCGCTAATTCACTTTGACCAAACGTGGTGATTAATGCTCAACCCATCTCTGTGTGAGCCTTTGCTCTGCAGTGGGGACATGTAGGCTGATGATGATGATGGTGATGATGAAATTTTGGTAGTGGATAAAAGATAAGTTTTTGGATTGATTGATTCTAAATGATCACATGATACTTTTCATGCTCATTCAGAAACTACTCATCTTCTTTAAATAAATACAATCAATAAACAAGTATCTTTGCTTGTGATAAATAAAGTCAACACAATTCAAGCCGTGGACCGAAAATTGGAAAACGCTTGGCATTTTACCATCTCATCTCAAAAGGTAAAAAGAGCATAAAAATAATTGCTACGCCTAACTGGGACAATTATACAGACTTATATACATTTGTACGTGGAATGTTTATGTCTGAGTATTCGTACAATCCACATTACATAAGAATACTTTTAGGAATATTTTATCGCCTAAAAGGGCGGTTTTATAAGAAAATTTATTGCCGAAACTCGTTACTGGAACCGACGAAATAAATGAAAAAAAAAACAGAACAGTTTACTGTCTGAATGAATACATTCATAATGTATCAAAGGATCAAATTGGAAGTTCGTTTCTGTATTGGATGAAGTTTTGTGAATTTAACGTTTTTTCGGATAAAATTTAATTTGTTTGCAAATGTAAAATGATTTGTTTTATTGCGTAGAATCCTTTTTTTGGCCTTTATTTTCCTATTATTACTTCTTTTAAAATTCCAAGTTTAAGTGACAAAAACAGAACTTTAAAGAAAAAGTCCGAAAGTGTAAAATTATATGTAAGATAAAGAAACATTCAAAAATAGAATTTCTATCGATCTTGTAGCAGTTGTTATTACTCAAACCAGAACGAATAACAATCGGGAAGCAATCGAACAACTCCTTAATCCATCGTTATCTAAAAACGGATAAAACATCCTTCAAGGTCGATTATTCTTTGTCCCAAATTCAATTAAATGGTACGAAATATTCATCCATCATCTAGGATCAAAGGAAGCAATGTATTTAACGATAACAACCTGAAGGTTTGGACTTTTGTTATTGAAATGTATGGAAATCGGATAGCTGATCGTAATTGTGCTAGTGTCGAAATATTTTTCCAGTTGGTCCATACTTTCGATGTTTGGGTGTTTTTTTTTCCACTTGATACTCTTTGTTCGCCTGTTGATCTAGGAACGAGAGCTGTTTGTACGAGTTGCTTGTTTTAATGTGTTTCTGAAGAATTTATGATTGTTTTCATATGTTAACGTCGTTTAGTTCTTCCATGGGAAGGTTTTTGTTTTCAATTGTTTGTTAATTTGTTGTGTTTATAAATATTGTGATCAAATATTATGTGTATGGAAATAAATGATAAAAAAGTTTACAATCAATATCGATTGTTCTATTGCATTAATGATTTATTTTATGTGGAAGGTCTTATGTCTAGGTGGAATCTGAACTTCATCATGAATTGTCGTCAACCGTCAATTAGTTCATTAGTTCCCAGTCATCTATCATCTTTTATGTTAGCATAAACATATTTCTCAAAAGTCTAAGACAAAAATTTATACAGTCGAATAAAAAATTTAATAAAAATCTTTTGTTTCTAGAACGGGCAAGCTCCACTACCCTACAGACGTCTGCGGGCCACTCTTCGAGGAGGAGCTGGAGTTCTGGGGCCTGGACGCCAACCAGGTGGAACCGTGCTGCTGGATGACGTATACACAGGTGAGGATACTGTTATCGGTTGAGATGACGACAAGTATAACCAAATCGCAGAAGAGAAAATTTTGACACGACCCGTGGTTTCGATAAAATGGCTAATAAAAAACATATACTTGTACATTACATTGTGAATAAATGAAAAATATAACAAAAGAAATAAGAAGAAATAATTGTATGCAGTTTTTTTCTAACATCTTGTCGTAGGTGAGTTAAAAATAATCGCGAGAAGATTTGCCAATAGTATTAAAATTTCTATAATATTGGTTCAAACAACTCAGAGCTAGAATCTAAAAGTCTTACTGAAAATATTTTTAGAATTCTTGTCAGCGTCTCCATCCCAGACAAATAATATCGTAAGTAGATCTTGACAGGTACTCTAGAAGTTTCGGAGTAGATGATTTGATGATCAGCGCACAAAATTAAATATTGCAAAGCTAATTTTAATATTATAAATATCTAACGTTGGAAACAATTCCAATACTTCAAGGTCATTGGATAAAATAATTTTATTGAATCGATTGATCGTTTTCGTATTATTTGTTTGACTTGGAGAATTTAATTTCGGAAAGATTCGATTACAAAATGAAGACGGAAGGTATTTGTCGAGAGATATTTGCGTCGAAGTAACTTTAGATCTCAATTTCATTGTGTAAGTTAAGAATGAGGATGTCATTGGCTTAGTGGTGATAAATTGAGCTTGAGATAATGTGCCCACTTTGGATGGAATTCATTGTTATTTGGGTTACCAGTTTTGGTGTACTTTTCCCTGGCCACAGAGCATTCTTGAAGTTTAAATCGCAGATTTGTGTTTAGCAACATGGGATAGTATGGCATCAATTCAGCATGCAAGTAAACCTTAACTATAATATATGAGATTATGACAGTTTGTACAAGTGTAACTATTACATAACGAAAACTTAATAAGAGTATAGATCGTGGAGAAACCACCAACCAACAACTAACAGCAAAAAGTTCCGAAATAGTTTAAGTAAGAACATATTTTTTACTTACAACAAATGAATATTTTCAGCCGTATCCCGCAACAAATTTCATAAGTTCCCTATGTCTAGTTCTTTATAGTAAAACTTTCCTCGTTTGCTCGAATTTGCCGACATGTTCCTACAAACTGTAGCGGGTAACTTACAGAGAAGTTTTTAAAAGTCAGTGCAAGAATCGAGGGCTGATATCGTGAACAGAATATTGAGCAACTGGTAACAGATTGGATATTGAAATATGTCATTGGTTACAAACCTAAGATATTGAGGCAGTTCCAAAAGTACCAGAGCTAAGTTCTTCTGCTATTCCTTTGGGGGAATGTAACGATTTTGCTTAATATTCTAAGAATGATTGACGCAGAGGGCGCCCATAGAAAATTGTGACTTCATCACAGAGATTTTATTCCTAACTCTTATTCTTAAAGTAAAACGTTGCGTTTCAAAAAATGTGCTAGAGATACTATCAAATGTCAATGAGAATAGACCAAAACTTCACACAGAGAAGGAATCTATGATTGCAATGTTTTCCAAGAATTCAAGTTTGATGTTCATGGCGATGGTAGTCCATAATTTGTTTTGTTTAGAAATTGATATGACAAGTTTGTAATTATATTTTGTAAATATATTAGACAATAGATGTGTATTTGATATTTTACGGATTTTAAGAATAAACATCAATTAATATTAAGTAAATAGTTAACATTTCAATCGTTATTTTTTTTTTTGAATGATCTCTGATCCTCACTAAAAAGTAAAATAATTCTAAGAAAAATATAAAAATAACAAAGAGAAAATGCAATCTAGCATCGCAAAGAAAATGAACATAGAACTTACAGCAACGAGTTACAAAATTGTGTTCACAAAAAAAAATTAAAAATAAAATGGAAAAAGTTCAATGCTTCAATTGTTGAACTTTTATACAGCCTAAGTCGTTATTTTGGTACAAATTTTAGAACTCTTGTAAAATAAATGAGTGCATAAAAATGCTGTTGAATCAACACGTTTATTGCAGGGTACGGGTTGTATTACTGTTCTCGTAAGGCCTCAAATTTTAGAAGTAAGATCACGCAATTCATATTTTGTAGAATAGAGTAATATAACTTTGATTGTAATTTCGACTGCGCGGTTGACGAGGCGGCTGCCGAACCACTCTTAAGTGTGTTCCACAAATTGTTGTCCGGGTCTGGGTGTGACGTGTATGTGAATTTGTAAGTTTGTAACCGCACCCACGGTACATGAGAAAATCCTTAACGTTTTATAAACACGGAATAATTTGGCCACAGCTGGACACGCCAAAATTGGAATTCTCCTCTTTTAGTTCATTAGGCATAATTCCGAAATGGCCGAGAAGAGAATCCCACTATTGTGATATTATTAGATGTTCAAATTTTACATCCTTTTGAAGAACCTAAAGAAGTTTTTTTTCAAGAATATCCCCATTAAAACTACGAAAGACTTAGAATCATCTCCGGCACTTTCTATTAGTCTTCTTAAAAGAAATGTTAAAGAATGCCGTTCTGGCTTCCGATTTCAGTACACGGACCCGCAATCAGTAATAAAGGCGTTTAAAGACATAAAAGTTAAGTCTACAGAGGATCTATGGGGAATGTCTGTTGTGGTGTGTAGGTCTTGTATAGAAGCTATAGCGCCTTACTTAGCTGTAATTTTTAATAAAAGTGTAGATCAGGGTGTTTTTCCAAATTTGATGAAACTTAGCAAGGTAGTTCCGTTGTTTAAATCTGGCGATGACAATGATCCCAATAATTATAGGCCGGTATCAATTTTACCAGTGCTTAGTAAAGTGTTTGAAAAGCTAATGCTTTCTCAGATGCTACGACACTTTAACATAAATTCCATCTTTCATGACCAACAATATGGGTTTACCAAGGGTCGATGCACAACTGACGCCGGTGTAGCTCTACTTAAGCATGTTTTTGCCTCATGGGAAAAGTCAAACGACGCTATTGGGATTTTTTGTGACCTGTCTAAAGCTTTTGATTGCGTTGAACACACAAAACTGTTGCTGAAGTTGGAACACTATGGCATTCGAGGGGTATCTCTCAATTTATTAAAATCATACCTGCAGGATAGGCAGTTCAAAGTACAAGTAAATAAAGTGAACTCCCAAGGTACTAGCATATCTATGGGCGTACCACAGGGCTCAATATTAGGTCCTTTCCTGTTTTTAGTGTACATAAATGATTTACCTCATTTATTTCAACGTGAACCGGGAATGGTATTATTTGCTGATGACACATCGTTGATTTTTAAAATAAATAGACGGACAGATAATTATGACGACGTAAATAATACTATAACGAAGGTTCATAATTGGTTTACAATTAATAATTTAGTCCTAAACGACAAAAAGACTAAATGTATACGATTCAGTTTGCCAAATGTTAAAAGTACCGAATGTGACATATTATTAAACGGTAATAAATTGGAATTTGTAAAACAAACTACTTTTCTGGGTATAACCATAGATGACAAACTACAATGGGGGCCCCATATCACATCTCTGGCAGGACGGTTGAGCTCTGCAGCATTTGCTGTCTGGAAGATCCGACAGCTAACAGATGTGGACACTGCAAGACTGGTGTACTTCAGCTACTTTCATAGCATTATGTCGTATGGCATCTTGTTGTGGGGACAGGCTGCTGACATTGAGTCTATCTTTGTCTTGCAAAAGCGTGCCATCAGAGCTATTTACAATCTAAAGCGTCGTGAGTCTCTTAGAGAAAAGTTTAGAGAGATCAATATTATGACCGTGCCATGTCAGTTTATTTATGAAAACATTATGTATGTTAGGAAAAACTTAAAAATATTCGATAAGGTGTCAGATAGACATAATTATCAAACTAGACATAGAGATAGATTATGTCAGCCATTATTTAGATTGGCAAAGGTACATAAGTCGTTCATGGGATTCTGTGTTAAATGTTATAACAAAATCCCAGGTGAAATACAACAATTAAATGAAAGAAATTTTAAATTATGTGTAAAGAAAACTTTATGTAGAAAAGCATACTACACACTGAATGATTACATTGTAGATAAAGATGCTTGGAGACATGCTGGTCCTGCTCCACAGGATAGCAAACGTACACCAAAATAAATAACGTTCCAATGGATTTTGCTTGAACGGGACTTCTTCATTTTAGTGAAATTGCATTATATTGTATAACTATAACTTGATAAATTTGTAAATGTGAGTGCCCTGTAACCTATTATAATTGGTTAGACTAGCAGAATGTCGGTCCTTATAACAGCTTGGAGTTGTCATGCTCACTGAAAGGTCACACTGGCGGTGGCATGGGCACTGGATCGCTTAATTCCCTATAATATGGTTGAGTTGGGCGATGCTGGTGTACGTGTCATGCTCGTGAACGAGCGCCGTCAGTTGGGACTGGTCAGCTCCAGACTGTCTATTGTCCTTCAGGTTACTTTATTTTTATATTTGAATAAATATTAGTGTTACACTGTTCTCACATAATTGAACCAACTGTTTGTAAAAGGAATCTGTATGTGAAACTGATTTAAAAAGAGTAACCATGGAGTTTCTTGCTCGTTCTTCTCCATCGGAATCTACACTTTGGAACGAGCAAATAGCTTCACTAAGAGGACTGACCGACAGACTGACACTATTTTTTATTTTAAATTTTGTTTGACGTTCAAAAGTGCCTGTAAAGGTCTAATTGGAATAAATGATTTTTGACTTTTGACTTTTTTTGACTTTTGAACCGATCTCGTGATGGATAAGCGCCATCTGTTGAGCAAAAAAATGAGCTGACATTGCTGCTGTAATTTTTGTTATCACTTAACTAGCTTCCTCCAAATAATAAAATTATCTTTCAAACAAGTTGTTATCATCTACTTATATCCTTTACTAAATTTACTGTCTTCTTTTTACTTTTCATTTTTTTCTTCTTTTTTTATTCACTGAGATTTTCATTTTTATAATGTTGTAACTGGTCTCTCTCGGTCTATTCCGACAATTTATAATCACAAATCTTTTTCCCAACCATCACTGAAAGCTTGATGTATTAAAAAGCAATGGTATTTTACATCGTCACCTATTTTAAACTTAGAATAAGATCTAACACAATAAATCAGAAACAAAATATTACATTTAAAATTCAGCGCTGATGTGACGTAAATCCGCATTTAAATGCAAGAACTGTCGCATAGTGTATCACCATATTTGCGTCCGTCACATCAAAGCCGCGAAACTTTTCCTCTTTCATACGGATTTACCAACAGTACTTTGTATGTATGTAGTTGGCTTCAGTATGAACAGACAAGTCAAATGAAGTGTACATGTAAATATAAGTAGCCTTTTCTCTAGTCTTTGTAGGAGGTGATGTCGATTCTGATAATGATATGCTTTTTCTTATTCATTATTGGTTATAAGGCTAAGTTTAATAGAAACCTCTGATCAGGATCCAAAATATGCTATAAAAGCTCTAGCCAAATATGTGATACTAGCCTTGACGCGCCGTGGAAGATACTGGTGTACTACGTGGTAGATAGACCAACCAAAAACACTCCGTGAAGATACAGACGTTAAGCCAAATTTGGTCAAATTAGACTTTTGCAATATTTTGGACTTATTCCCAAATATCCTTGATCTCATAGAACAAGACAAAGATTACTAAAGTCCAATCACTACGCTTAAATAGCTTGGCTGCATAGAACTAGTGACTGGAACCTAATCACGAATTGTAACACTGAATTAATGTAGACGATTCTACTACAGATAGTTAAATTGTTCAGTATTATCATACTAAACAAGAATAAAGAGATGAATCACAAGACATAAAGGAGCATTTTGCCTTAAACAAACATTCTCAAAACGGTATCGTCCATAACAACAACACTCCTAAACTTTCCTATCTTCAGCACGACAATGTCATTTTACACTGCATTGCAAATAAAGCGTATTACCACGGTCGGTATCCCGAGTATTTCGGTGCACTACAGTGTACGTGACGAATATGTTAGCATGTCATTCGGACGTGAAGCGTTCGAAACGGCCATCGCAAATAAATGCTGTTCTTGTTTGCAGCTTTCGTATAAATATTTGGTTTTTGTTTGTGTGTAGAGAGATTCATATGCAATACAAAACATAGCGTGATTTCGAACATATTTTTGGGGTGTTGTTTAAGAAAATTGCTTTTTAACTCACCTCTGATTTTTGTTATCTGCCATTATCTTTACTTTAATCAGGTTGTTATGCTTGTGTTCTGCAAATCGTGTTGAATATTTGATAAAATCTTTTCTTTATCTTAAATTAAATTTTTCTTACTTGAGTTTTTCAAGTTTTTCTTTACTATTTATTGCTTCTACTGTCACTGTTCACGCAAAACATTATTTATGTCTATATGTTTTAAGCTAAATTCCATCAATAAATATATATGAATGATTGACCCTGATGAATAAAGGCCCTTTAGTTCTCTTCGTCAATAAGCAAATCGCCACATCCATTTTATGATGATGTTGAGGGTCCATTAGTTCACATCGAGAGAAAGAGTCTAATACTCCTTCTCACCTCACCATAGGGGCTAACAAAAAAAAGAACAATTACCAGGTAACCTATGGACTAACGAGGAATCCATGTCAAACAGTACTTGCATAAACAAAACCGTCAATAGGTACTACAGACAACAAGTATTCTGTTTTAATATAAACAAGAGAGAAGTATGCAGGACATGTTCCAATAACATTCCATAGCGATGGAAAATATCCAGGCTTACAACCATTGCGGTGCCGTACATATTCATGTGTTCACGCCCTTCGTTTAAATGAAATGAATTGCGTTTTTGGAGTTCGTCATTGAGACCATGTTTTTGTTTGTTGTATGATTATAAAGGCTTTATTCTTTATCTTAACGCAATAACAATAATCTTTGCATATTTTAAAATCTTGATTTTTACACTTTTAAATATTTTCACAAAACAAAAAACACATAAAAATATAAAAAGCAGTATCCCACCGTTTACGGGAGGGTTCCAAGCAACCGGTGGTCAGGGCTCCAGAGAAAGGAATCTCCGGACAATGACTTACATAACCCAACCATCTAACGTAAGCCTGCTTAGGTGTTTATCAAGGCTTTTATAAATGTTAAATAAACCAATAAACAACTTTTGACAGTTATATTAATAAACGAAAAAAGTTAAGTTTAAACAATTCTGTACATGAGCAAATATACATTATGATGTTTTTTTGACCTGGACGACACGAGCCATCAAAACTAGTCAAATGCAAATAGAACTTTTTTCGAATTATAATATTTACTTTCTCGGTTAATTTACAAAACGCTGACAAAGCCAATCAAAAACGGCTTGTGCAAGCGTGGTGATAAATGCTCAATCCTTCTCCTCATAAAAAAGGCCTTTGATTATTTAGCAATGGGCTAGGCTTATGATTATGATGATATAGCCAATATCTTGTTTATAACAAAAATAATATATTTATTTATTATAAGCTTCATGCACAAGATACTGTACACAAGGTGGACTTAATACTTTGAGCATTCTCTACCAGTCTGACCTTTGGGTGATGCAGAGAAGAATACCAATGGCAAAGAATACCAAATTTATGCTTGCTTCTTGCATCTCAAGAAGCAAGCATAAATTTTTGAAATTGTAAAAGTCTGAAGTTATAATATAGTTACAGTTTTACAAAAAACATTGAATAAAAAAATGTTGATTAACTTCCGAACGTCGTAATCCATGCAAACTATAATGGCATCGCTCATTTTAACATAAAATTTCCCATTAATAATAAAATATTCTCAGTGCATCTCCAATTTCAAGCGAAAACAGGGAATAAAATATTCCAATTACATTCCCAACGAAATGGGAAGTTCAGGTTCAATAATTGTGGGTCCGATATTTTCCTATTATTTCGACCATTGCTCCGATACGAAATATTTTTGCGGCCAACCCTCATATTTTATACCGAACGAAATCGAAGCCTTTGTCCAATTAATTTTATTCTCAACTTAAATACGAATTTAAAAATGGATTCCCGGCTTCTGATATTATTTAAAATTATTTCTGTTTCACAAGCGGCCATTCCGTTATTTAATTAATAGGATCCATTGTTTTATTGTTGCGTGCCTTGATTGCTACATTGTTTGTTTATTCGTCGTTGAAATAGATGAAACAAAGTACGAATGTTGTCGGTTTTCTGCTTTTTATACTTTTTTGAGTTCGTTTCATCGAAATAGTAAAAACGTTAGACTTTAAAAAAAATATATTTATTTATTTATTTATTTATTTATTTATTTAAGGGCAACCAACAAAGCATACACTAAAATACATGATAGGTTTTTAACATATTTTAACATTGTATAGTGTAGCCTTAATTAAAGGCTGCCACGACATGCATTTAACAAATAACAGGATATTACAACAAAAAGTTCACTTATCAAAAAAAAAAGACATCTTAATAACACTAGTTTTCAAATCACAATTGTTAATTATTAATTCAAAAAACTGTAATTTTTTTTAATACCATGAAATATATTAAAGAACAATAAAAAAAAACAATATTTTATACAGTGAAATATATTGTGGAGCTCAACTCTGTGAGAATGTCCTACGTAAGACAGTTTTCACCTTAAAGAGAGAGTAGGACATGTCAATATCTACATCAAGTGAGGATGACAGGCGACTAAATTGTTCCTGCATTCTATTTATTGTGGAAAAATGGCCCAGGCTTGTTTTAAAGCCCTTACCTGAAAGCAACCGATACCTAGACATTCGAGCCAGTTTGTAGGGCACGTTCACATTAATCTGGCTAAGTAACTGCGGACAGTCAATGTAGTTGTTTATATAGTATAGAATAATATAGAATCCACAAAATTTTGTATATATTATAGAATCCACAAAATTTTGTTTCCACCTATCTAAAATGTTGTAAGTTATAACAATATGTATACATATATTTATGTGAGTTAGATTACCTATCCCCTATGTCCATCAACCATCCCTACTACCACCAACCGTCAAATCCCTTAACTCTCAAATCGTTAGGGAAGGCCAAAAAGGCCGGTCATGTCATGTTTGGTGACACCTCTGGTGTTGCGATTCTCCATGAACTCCGTTACCTACCATCAGGGGATCCATCTGCACGTTTGCTCTCATCACACTGACTACTTCTAATTAAAGTTTCTCTTTCCTACAGCATCGGGACACCCAAGAAACTCTGGCAGTCTTAGATCGGCTAGACTTAGACACAGAGAAACCGACGGATGAGGAGGTGGCCCGGAAATTTGGCTTCGAAGAAGACTATATGAAGGGGACGGTGTCGTGGTGGCAGCATCTGAAGCCACAGATGTGGTCGCTGTTTGATGAGCCATACAGCTCCAATGCTGCTAAGGTATTTATTCATTTACCAGCTAACACGGGTGGTATCTTGAGGCCTTACTCTCCTACAGTAGTTTTAGCGTGATGTGATCGGAGCGGACTAACAAGCACAAAAATAATTGTTCAATTCAAACCAGTAGTTTAGAAGATTAGTGCGTTCAAACAAACAAACTCTACATGTTTATAATATAATTATAGAGATATATAATAATATAAACTACCAAAGAATTTCATCTGAATCAATAATGATAATCAAATAATGATCATAACTCAATTTTGATGCCTTAGATCTCGAGGTGAATCATGTTCGTGGAAAAGAAGAGAGAGAGAGAGAGAGTATTTTTTTAATTCGATTCCATTTCAGAATATTTATCTTCATCCAATTAAAATTTATAATAATTTTAAGTCTTAATAACACTTTTGCCTTTAAAATACAGTCAACATTTTGAGAATTTTGAAATCACTTTGAATAGTTGGGTAGTATTAAAAATTCCTAACAAGTTTAAAATGTTCTGTTTTCTTACATATAAAATAGTTTATGGTAAGCTATGGTCCAAGCCTATTTTAGTAAGAATTTTAATTCAATTTTATGCAAATCTAAGTATTCTAATATTGACCTTGGAGAATGACAATACCGAGACAACGAAAGCCTCGCTTCGAATCTTTTTTTGCATTTACTTTATTATTATTATCATAGAGATATCTACCAGTAAATTGCTAAAAATTTTCAAGAAAGAAAAAAATTGGTAGAATGTTTAAGCAATAAACTTCATAATCTGACAATATGTTTGGCTATATTCCAACTGATCACCAAAATATTAGTCCGAATCGAAAACGAAAGAAAAAACATAGTGTAACATTGAATTCAATCACACAGTTAAAAGTAAAACAGTAATATCAGTCAATGTATTTAATCGAAATGACGATTCATTTGTACAATTGAAAAAGCCTATCAGGATTTCACAGATGAAACACAATTTAGTGCAAGAATATCGTTGTAATGAAATATGTCATTACTAAGAACACAATCACGGCGATATGACATTTCCCACAAATACTTAATAGAAGTCAGAATTTCCCAACACTAAAACCACTTGTTTCTAGACAATCATGAACTCACTAATGTAAAGTCATTAACATATCTCATTACCGAGGTACAACCTTTTCACAGTACTTGTTTTTCCTCAACAACCTTTTTAACATTTGCAAAAAAACTCTGCTCGGTGTAAATACTATCATTTGGCTCGTTAACCGTTCGTGTTTCAGTAAATAAAAGCACCCTTAATTCCAGCAATAAACGCCCTGTATTTACTTTAATTATTTTTTACATGAGAATGTAAACGTAGTAATTTTTATGTCCCGCTGAAGGGCAAAAGGTTTGTTGCGAAGGCTGCTTTAATCTCAACAAAAGCAACGTTGATCTCGCTGTTTAATGACTCCAGGGATTTAAAGACTAGTTCAATGAATTGTTTGATGTCGGGATCGTGTGATAAATCTCAACCCTTTACACGTAACACGAAACCCTAAAGGATTTGCAAAAGCAATTAACTTAACTGATTCTTTGTTTTCAGATAATCGGCGTCATATCTGTGTTCTTCATATGCGTATCAATAATATCGTTCTGTCTAAAAACTCACCCGGACATGAGAGTGCCAGTGATTAGAAACTATACAGTGACGACTGCCAACCAATCGCAGGGTTGGGCGTTGGACAAAGTGCAAACAAACGCCCACGTAGCGTTTTTCTATATAGAATGTGTGTGTAACGCTTGGTTCACATTAGAGATCCTAGTGCGTTTCATCTCATCACCCAACAAGTGTGAATTCGTCAAATCTTCCGTCAACATCATCGACTACATAGCCACCATGAGCTTCTACATTGATCTAATCCTCCAGAAGTACGCGTCACATGTCGAAAACGCGGATATTCTGGAGTTCTTCTCTATTATTAGGATCATGAGGCTGTTCAAACTCACGAGACACTCTTCGGGTCTCAAGATTTTGATACAGACCTTTAGGGCGTCAGCGAAGGAGTTGACGCTGCTAGTGTTCTTCCTTGTGCTGGGTATTGTAATATTCGCTAGTCTGGTGTACTACGCGGAAAGGATACAAACGAATCCCCACAACGACTTCAATAGCATACCGCTGGGGCTGTGGTGGGCACTCGTGACGATGACGACTGTTGGATACGGTGACATGGCGCCGAAGACCTATGTTGGCATGTTTGTCGGTGCGCTTTGCGCGTTAGCAGGCGTAAGTATGCATTTTATTTTGTATGAATATAAATAAATAATTCTTCCCTTTATGAGATTAAGCTTTAGTTCTTTTTTTAACAAAAGTACATATTTAAAAATAAATAACACTTGTAAAGTTGGAATGTAGAAAAACTAAGCCATATAAAGCATTAACGTTTGTAATACATCTAGAAATGTTTCCGTATTTTCTCAGACATACTTAGAATCGGTGGATATTTGAAAAGAAAGGTCATCTGCGTCATTTGTCATTGTCATTTTTATAAATATAACATCGTTCTTAATCCAACAGGTGTTAACCATAGCTCTTCCGGTGCCAGTCATCGTATCCAATTTCGCCATGTACTACTCACATACACAAGCGAGAGCTAAGTTACCAAAGAAGAGGCGAAGAGTTATCAATGTAGAGCCCACGAGGCCACCTATGCGTAAGTATTTTAATAAAAAAGTATTCAGCAAAAGTAGTCTAAAGAAAATGCTAACACATTTCCATAGCCAGGGCAGCACAAATGTGAACCAAATTATTTAGCACTTGAACATTTGAAAGTAGATTTGGTATTTTAAGTAAGCATTGTTGATCTAGGTGCCCCAGTGCCAGGTGCTCCTAATCCCCTAGCACCAGGCATGGGTCCTCAGGTAGTAAACCGCAGAATGAATGCCATCAAAACAAATCATCCTAAAGATATGATAGGACCTAACATGGGTAAGTTCTATAATTAAGTTAATATGCTAATAAATGTCACCATATCTGAAGCTGTGGATAAAAATGTAATAAAAGAAAATAAAAATGCAATTTTTCGATATCAAAACTATCAAATACAATTTAAAGAAATGCATGATAATAAATTGAACCATAAACCCGAATTTTATAACTATTTGATTTCTTCTTTATTTAAATTATTCATAGCTTCACAATTTTCATGTATTTCACACGAAATTGTGGAATCGACACCCATAGCAAGACAAATGTAAAATATTTCTAAAATTTTACTTGAAGGCAAAAATTTTAACATGGAACATGGCCTTTGTAATCCACTTGTAGTTTTAAGCACTTTAAATGTTTGATATCACGAAGTAGAAACTAAATTTTGATGGACATGAGAACAAAATTGGCGTTATTGTCACAAATATAGATGAACATATCACATTCACTGGTGAATTTAAACAGAAAACAGAAAGATGTTACACCATACAAATGGTAACAAACATACTAACTTGACTAATTGATCATAACTGCGCATTTGATTACATGGATGTGGCTAAAATAATGTTACTTATCAACGACTTTGATTTCTTACCCAAAACAACAATTCAAATTGAAGAATGCGGTAGTTTAAGCACCTACTAATATTGTCAACAACATGGATACAACTAACAAAGAAGCAGTCTAAGCCATCAAGTCTTGAAGCTTTCTGGTCACAAAGTCATTGATAATGTAGTTGGAACCATAATAATAACTGATGTACTGGTCACGTGACTAACAGTAGCTTATGCAATGTAATCCTCCACAGATGGTGATCGTAGCGAGCTAGAGGCTATGATCCAAACGACACCAAACAACTGCAAAAGAAAAAATTTAAACATGCTTTAGAAAGCATCACACAACGCCGTTGGAACCGAATGGGCTTTCTATATCGCCTGCACACTCGGATTTAGCTTACAGGAATGCTAATATATCTTTAGTCACTAATCAATCATTATCATTGTCATTATCATGAATGCACACGGCAGTATCTTCAAGCAGCACTGGATCCACCGTCTAGGTCCCTTTGCTTCGAGGGGATGAAGGTTCGGGACTTTGTATATCTGTGTTTGTACCCCGAACTTATTGCTTTGCTTCCAAACTTGGTGTTGTTGTAGTTTGTTTATGATTTTGTATACTTTTAGGTTCTTTCATTTTGCGATTCGTGAATGCTTCTTTGATCAATTATTTGTAAATAAAACATCGTTTATCGTATCTTAAGTTTTAAATAGTGATGGTTCAGTGTTTTTTCCAGGCAACAACCACACACCTCCACCACCACTAAATAGTCAAAACAATACAACAAATGAAGTTCCAAACTCACAGCCGGTCACATCGGTACACTCTTAGATTACTTAACACTAATATAACACTAACACAGTGTCGTTCTTGTGCTTTTTCTATTGTACAACGAATGTTCGTGTTTCTAGCACTAGTTTATGTCTTGTGAAAGTCTGTCAATGTTATATCATAAATGTTCTTATCTTTCTTTTCTATATAATCTTGTCTAAATGTCCTATTTAAGTCTTTCTTAAATGTTTAACCAAAAAATCAATCAATTATCCCAAAACAATAATAAGCATGCACGTGCATGATTGTTGAAATAAATAACCTTCTAAACCTTTTGTGTCTGTTGCCAATTTCATTGTAATGATGTGATATTAATTTGTTTTTATATTCCCTACAGTTGCAACTTTGATGCCCGGGATGGACCTATCGGTCACGACTCGTCTTTCTCCCAGCCCACAAGGAATGAGCCCCGCGCTTGCTATTGCAATACCAATGATGAAATCCGTAAATATAGTACCATCTCAATGTTTTGACAACATGGCGTACCACAGCGAGAAATCCGAAGAAAAAGAGGCGGATAGTAATAAAGAAAGCAGTAAAACTTGCAGCCGTCAGGAATCTGTGGAAAGCGACAATACTGTCAGAGTAATGAACTTCAAAAATGATATATTTATGGATAAAGTGAATGAAGAGAAGACAGACGCCCGCACGCCTCTGTTGAGGGATCACAAGATTGAGTCATTGGATGAAACGAAATTGAGGGACAATAAGACGGAGAAAAGGAAATCGTCTGCTTCTACATAACGTTAATAATATTACGACCAATAGTGCTAAGAATGTTTTTTAAAATTCGCTTGCTGTGAAAACGATATCTTAATAGATGTAACATTTTGGCAACAAAACTAACAGTCAAAAGAAAGAAAGACTTCAATCACATAATAATAATATCATCGATGTCAGTTAAAATAGTTACATAAAAGCCTTTTTTGAAAGCAGTTACGATTCTATCTAAGAAATGATATGAATAATCATCATTGATATAGCATTTTATTGGTAAGCGCATTCAAGGCCGTGATAGGTGTAAGATAGCTAAGTGTTTACAGGCACTTATTAACATTTTATAACACATACGTATATTAGAATAGCTGCTATCACAATCTAGTAAAAAATAAATGTAAGGCAACGACCAGTATAGATAGGCCCATTATATCTCTTTCCTGCGTACCCATACACATGACTTCGAAGTCTAGTTATACTGGTCGCGTAGTCATCGTTAATGACCAGAAAATTCGTAATCATAGTGGAGTATGTTTACTGTCCATTAGTGAGAGAGGTGAAGCTTGTTTAGGTCTAATAAATGCAAATATTAAATTTGATTTTCTAAACAAGCAATGTTTCGCAATAGTTTTGGATAAACAAAAACATGAAACTACAGCGATTTTGAATTTCGAACATGAAGTGGGTACTTCAACATCGCTTGATTTGCTTCTAGCCCTTAAAACATTATACTCAGTAGACTTTTTTGTTCCATCAGTATTCTGAAGTCCAAACCAAGTTTTACCTCTATCAAATAAGCTAACGATAAATATACTGTAAATATTAGTAGCGTTACTAATTTTGTATCTTTAACAGTTAAAATAATCACTAGACAACACATATCATTGGCACTTTCTTTCATTCTTGGTGTTATATACCTGTTTTACATGTATATAGATAAATATAAATAGCATAAACTATACATTATAAGCGTAGATAGTGTTAAAGAAATTATTTAAAATAAACAAAATACAGTAAATTGGCTGAGAATTTTGGTTTGCGTTTTGGATAAACAAATTTAAATTGAGCCCCCAAAAATGTAAATCGGGGGCTTGGCGATGTCATCATACAATTTTATAAAGCCCTTTCATTGCGAATTAACAAAGATGGCGTGATCAATGATCATAGTCACGTGGTTATCAAATAAAAGCCTAACACGAGTTGTCTTTTCGACTTTAAAGTGATGTAAAAGAGGTCATTTTACCTAAGCATCCTAAAGCTGCATCAACTTCTTTTGTTATTGAGACTTAAGAAATGGGTATTCAAACAAAATACTCACGAAATGGGAAACGCTGTTCACATAGTGATGAAAGGGTACTAACGTTCGAAAAGAAAATGTTAAGTGGGCTTTTTTGTTTATATGTTGCTTAGCAACGTATGAGAAGTATTTTCCTTCAATAAAATAAATTGTAAATCATGTCTAAATTTTGGGACCCTTTAATGTTTTATAATATGTATAAATATTGCGTGGATTTAAATAAATTATTATCTTGCGTGCCAGGAATCCTAAGATACAAGTTTTGTTAAATAGTACCTTCTTTACAACCATTGTAATAAAAATTAAAACAGATTGTTCTATTATTTATTATGTTTTCGGCTTACTCACGCAATAATTTGACGAGATACTCGACTAGTTTCAAGCCATGCTAGAGGCCCATATTCATGAGCAGCATTCCGCGACACGCGACTCGGCGACCGTCGCGCTGCAGTCGCGTAGCAGCGCGACGGTCTGGGCCTCTAGCATGGCTTGAAACTAGTCGAGTATCTCGTCAAATTATTGCGTGAGTAAGCCGAAAACATAATAAATAATTTAGAATGTCTCACGAAAGTTATAATAAAAAGATTGTTCTATTGTTTTACAAAGTATAATTGCTATGCTTTGAGTGTAGTGTCACCATAACTTAGCCAATGTTATTTCTGAGGAATGGTATCCAAGCAAAACAAGCAAAACAGCTTGTACTATCTTCCTGGCACAAAAATCGGTACCATATCGAAATTATCAATTATTTATTTTTTCATTTCTTACTAAACGAAAATCTAACGCTATAATATTATCTATTTAACGCATAAAATGCAATAAGTTTTAATGTAACCTAGATAGCACAACGTTTTGTTATGGAGCGTATTTTGTATATAATTTAAGATAAACTTAAGCTACTAATTATACCTAATTTATTGTTTCGTTTCTTTTTACTAATCAAAGGATATGTCTCTAAATGGTTACTACGGCTTGAAGCTGGGAAAATATCACAATATGAAAAAAATACATCAACACGCTGAATAATTTTCCCCAATTTCAAGGTCATGACCTTAGTAATTAATGTTTAGAAGCTACAGTTACAACAAAAGCCAATGAAAATGTAAAAAAAGTTTTGATTTTGAACTGAGATCATGAAACGAGAGAAAATATTAAATTACAAACAAACAAGCTTTAGCATTGAACATGTAAACTTAAGCGATGATGAAAAAGAAAAAGAAATTGTACATTTCGATTAACGACATAACAAGTAGGCGCAGAATATAACTTAAATCCCTACTAACAAAAGTTTAACAAAACTAGACGGAGCAAAGAATGAAACAAAAGACGCTCAGTGGCATCATAGTGTGTTAAACAATGCTTAAAGCGTACCCACTGTTTATACAACACACGTACAATAGGAAAGCCTGTGTCAGCGACCGACAACCCTATTTTGAAATAATTTATGACCTCTTCCCAACCTAACAAGCACACTTTGGAGTATTCATCATCTGTGTTGTTAAAATTCATATAAATTGCCTTGTGAGCCTTTACCAGTGCGTCTGTTGGTACGTGACAAGGTTTCGTGGAATCATGTCGGCCCAAATTAATATGAGGGATATACATATGTTAATTATTGTGTTTGTCATTAATAAAAGCAGATGCCACTTTATTAGCGTCAACCTGTATTTGGAAATTGTGATGCTTAAGAATTGTTTGATATTCAAAAACATAAAACTTATGGAGTAGATATTTCTTGCTAAATTTGTTTAAATATCCCCTACAAGTCTTAAAATATCAAGGGTATTTAACTAAAAATTCTAAACATAACGTAGAAAGCTGATAGAAGTCGCTGTAAAAACGTGTTAAGACGTAGAAATACATTACTTGTAAATTTCTTAGTGAAGGCAAAATCAAGTCAAGTAGAATGTTGTGTGTCAGTCTGACTGACGTTTATTTATTACTGCGGCCTCTAATCTAACCTACTTAATTCACCCTAACAAGCTTGAATGGTGCATTTTGTAAAAACCATTTTATGTTCTATTTAAAGTAGTAAGTAAGGGATAACTAAAAATACAGAACCGTAACACATCATTTTTAACTTCCAAGAAACATAAATCTTTTTGGGTGCCTTTCCGCTCCAGAAATGGTTTTCATTTTCCAGCTATCTTCAAAACTATAATTTCTTATATCACACGCAAACTTGACATATGATTGTTCGAGAAAATGAATTGTGTTGGAAAAACTAAAATAAGGGCCGAAAGTTTTACAATCATGTAAACAGGTCAACGCTACCTGCCTCTGGCAAGCTTGCTACGATCATAAGTCACATTTTAATTAAAACTAACATAATTAACTTTGTAAAGTTTAATAACACAATTGGTTGGTACGCTGTGATATAAGTTTAAATTAAAATTGGCATACTTGTTTCTCGTTTATAACTGAAGGGAAAATGTCATATCGAAAAGTAAATTCTCTTTGGTACACGAATCAATAATTAGTAGCGTCGTAATTGCAAAGTTGTATTTTCAACTTAGTAACAAGTACTTTGGAACTTGGTTCTACTTGTAACAGTACTGTTTTATCGCCCTTAAACATGGAAGGAGCCTTGGGCTATAATTCTCCATTTAAAAGTCAAACTGTATTTACACGCCTATCGTCACGATCGATAAGACCATAAGAGAGAAAAATGAGCCATTTCGCATTGTTTATGGGGGACCCACCGGCTTCACGATCTCCGTCCAATCTCAAAACATTGAACATTATTGCGAACACCTTACTTATAGCCTTATTCTCATCTATTTTATGCTAAATTATATTTGTAAATAAATTTTAAAGCGGATCTAGAGGACCACGAAGTTTTGTACTAAATTCTTTAAGCCTACTCGGATCGCGAGTTTTTTATTTAAGACTTGTAGTAAGTTTGAGTTTTGCACTTAAATAAATAAAGTATTGAGATGGAATTAGTAATTGTATTATAATTTTGCTGTCAATGTTAATATAATACAAAATAGCCCGCGAAATAATAATGTAATTTGTTAAGAATTGTCTGTTATTTTATGACGTATAGTTTTTCGAAAATGTATAACCAGATTAAATGAAGTTATTGTATTATTTTTGTTATATGTAAAATTCGAGAATGAAACTGATAAATCAGTCCAAAAATGAATTATGTATATTATTAAATAACAAAAATGGAAAATCTTGAAAAAGTGAAAGCTAGTCTAAAAATATTAAAAATAATAATCACATAAAAAAACCAATAACCAATACAATTAATCGTTAAGCTGTTTTATTATTTACATTTTGTAAAATACTGATGGTATACCATTATGTTTTCCAAATTATGCACAGTGTCCATAGTCGGTCTCATATTGGTATGAAATTTCATAAAAATCGCATAGTGTTTGGACACGGTAAGACACTGTGTCTAATTTCGAACACTCACGAGCAAAGACGTAGGAAATAAGGCTTTCACAGTGAGTAAACAGGGCTTTGGTGTTATTATATAGCGTTCTATATACATATACAATTTTGAACAATACAAAAACAAAATTATTTGAAAATATTGTTCATTAAACATGTGAAATTATTGCGTTGTTTTATTTCATTATCTGCTTAACCCTTGAGACTAACACAAACATTTATCAAACAGACTATAATTAGAATTTTAAAAAAAGGACCAGGATTTTGGTGTTTGGAGCCTTTAATTCAGTTTAAAGATCAATTTAAGCATAATTTGTGTTGTTATTCAAGAGAAGAGGGAGTGTTTTTTTTTGTCAGGAGAAAATCAACAAATGACTTCTCCCACCCGGGATAAGGAGAGAGAGAGTGTCAGACTCTTACTGACTAAAAACCCCCTCGTTCCTTTTCCTGCTCTGCCCTGCAACCTCGGATAAACATCAGCCCTATAGGGCCACGTCTGTGGTGGTCAATTAACTCTTTGAGGCGGGCACAGAACGCTACGCGCCATACGCTCTGGTAGACAAGGGTGGGTAATCTGCTACTTGCGCTAACAGAATTCTAATGCTATCAGGGTTAGGACCTTCGGATAATACTAAAATATAATGTTTTTCAGTTCCAACAGTGAAGTCCTAATATCCAAAGTAATTTCTAAAGTCATGTGCCTAACGACCTTGAATGAGTTTTATTTACATTAAACAAAATGGCTATTCATTCTATTCAAGTAGGTAAATGAACACAGTTTAATAATTTCGATAATGAAACTCATAAATTAACGATATAATATACAAATCTAACTATTTGGTGGAAATAGTTAGATTAGTATATTATATCGTTTCGGAAAAAGCTGGACAAGATACTGGATATCAAAGGCAAACTACAGCAGCTCTCGGACGTGGAAGCGAAAATTCACTGCGGCTCTGGCCCAGGACTGAAGAAGGGACGGGGTGTTTTTTAGTCAGTATGATTTTAACACTATCTCTCATCCCTCGCCAAACATTATTACAATTCAATAATTCCAAATAAAGGCCTTTTTTATCAACCTGACCATTTTAAATGTGATTTCAAAGCAACTTGCTAAGTGTACAGATTATGAGAAACCCTCTTATGTAAATAAGGTCCATATTCCAACAGATGATGACGATGAAAAAGAAAGGAGAACGGCAGGCCCTGTACCGCATACTTTTTGTAATGTTATGTATTAGAATTTGTACTACTTATTAAGGCAGCTAAGCTATTAATTTGTATGTAATTGTTCTATTTTTAGAAGCTGGGATTAAATAGAAATATCAATAAAAAGATTTCAATAAACAAGCGCAGTAAAATCGTAAAAACTGGACGCAGTCATGTTTTGAGAGGTTGCCATTGTAAAATAAGACAAATATCGGAATTATAAATAATTATTTAGAAGTGAGAATAACAAGTAACAATTAAAGACGTCTATATATTAAACCTACTTAACCTAAAATATTTTTTATATTCCTGTACTCTAAACCCAGTTAATACTTCATTATTGAATGACTAGATGGATGAAAACTAGCATTTCAACAAAGCTGACCTTATTTTGTGTGTTAGGTTTTTGCCGTGGATGTTAACCACGCGCCATCACGTTCGGTCGTTGGGGAAACGCACCTCTTGCTATCATGGTTGTAACACTAGTTCGCAACCGTATAGCAAACCTTTGAATCACCAAAATAATGTTTATGTACCTTCAAATAACAATCTAAGCTAATACTCTAGTACATAACCTTTAAAAATAAAACAAGCTATAACTCTTATGTCCCAAGTTTTAAAAATCCAACATTTTAAACAGGGCTTGTTTATCATATTAACTACCAATTAAACCAAAGAGCATCCAAAAACACGAAAAAATATTACAACTATGAAAAATATTACAAATGGACTCCCATACAAGCCTGCCGTTCACCTTTAAAAAACTTTCAAGCCAAAAATATCAGCTAATCATAAAAAACGTAACACCCCACTTGAACCCTGAACACAATATACTTGTAATAATCTTAAAAATAAAATTAATTCAAGAGTACCTGTAAGGGCCAGGGTTGTCGTAAACAAAGTTAATACTCACATAAAATGGCTATTACACCGAATGTTCGGCTAGATACCGGTGACCCTAACCGTTTATATTGTTACAAGGCAACCATTTGAATATTCCACGGATATAATTATAAGGTTTTCGTATGAGATTAAAAAGGAGTTTTGTTAGAGCGAAATAGAATTGTTAGACTTAGAGATATTTTTATCTTTTTGATAGAAAAACACCATTAAAGTACTTAAATGCTTCCGTCCTGACTAAGACAAGAGAAGGTGTCACACTTCTTATTGACAAAAATCTATTTCAATTACTTCTTTGATCTAGGACGCCGTAACTTATTGCGCTTTGCCTACAACACCGGCCCCGCGGACCGGGCCGGTGGTTGGTAGGTGGGCAAAGTTGTGTTTTTATGTGATAGAACAGCAAACGAGCGATGGATTACCTGATGGAAAGCAAAGATAGTGGACTTCTTTCTGTTAGAAAGCTATACATTTTACACACCGTTCTAAAAAAACACAAAATCTACCATATGATCCAAGTACAACTACAAGAAGACGGAAAGATCTCATAGCACAGGTTCCACAAAATAAAACCAAATTTGCCGCCTTTCCGTACAGAACACTCTCATGTCAACTTTATAATAGAATAAATAAAAAGATATACGTACACAATAAACAATTACACGAGTGTAAAAAAATTATAACTAATTGGATAAAGACACTAAATTACGGACACTGAGGCACTATTACAACACACGAAATGAAACACATATACATACACATACCTACACACACACACATACAAACACACAAACACACACACACACACACACACACACACACACACAAACACACACACACAAGCATGCCGTTTAAAACTAAGTTTTCTATTTAATGTAAACTGATGTAGAAGAGCGGAGTGTCCTAATACAGGCATTATTTGCTTAAAAGGAGGGTCCAATCACCAACTTATGTTAAACTTTTGGTAAAGAAATAAAGAATTTTGTATTTGTATTTTGTATTTAATTATCACCGTCCTTGCACTACCGCAGTTTCACTGAATCGAAATGTATTATAATCATTAACTTTGATCATCTTTAAAGTTGACCTATTGATCATGAAAACACGGTATTTTTTAATGAAATAATTCAGCGATCGAGCAGACTGATGTCATGATCCGCCCATGGACACCCACAATAACAGACGAGCTACGAGTGCGTTGCCGACTGCCGATTGGGAAGGGATTGGGGGAGAGGAAGGAATGGG